TATACACCAAGACATATCCGCAATCCGATATACACCAAGACATGTCTGCAATCCGATATACACCAAGACATGTCTGCAATCCGATATACACCAAGACATGTCCGCAATCCGATATACACCAAGACATGTCCACAATCCGATATACACCAAGACATGTCTGCAATCCGATATACACCAAGACATGTCCGCAATCCGATATACACCAAGACATGTCACCAAGACATGTCAATCCGATATACACCAAGACATGTCCGCAATCTGATATACACCAAGACATGTCCGCAATCCGATATACACCAAGACATGTCCGATATACAATGTCTGATATACACCAAGACATATCCGCAATCCGATATACACCAAGACATGTCCACAATCCGATATACACCAAGACATGTCCACAATCCGATATACACCAAGACATGTCTGCAATCCGATATACACCAAGACATGTCTGCAATCCGATATACACCAAGACATGTCCGCAATCTGATATACACCAAGACATGTCTGCAATCCGATATACACCAAGACATATCCGCAATCCGATATACACCAAGACATGTCCGCAATCCGATATACACCAAGACATATCCGCAATCCGATATACACCAAGACATGTCCACAATCCGATATACACCAAGACATGTCCACAATCCGATATACACCAAGACATGTCCACAATCCGATATACACCAAGACATGTCTGCAATCCGATATACACCAAGACATGTCCGCAATCCGATATACACCAAGACATGTCCGCAATCTGATATACACCAAAACATGTCCATAATCTGATATACACCAAGACATGTCTGCAATCCGATATACACCAAGACATGTCCATAATCTGATATACACCAAGACATGTCCGCAATCCGATATACACCAAGACATGTCCGCAATCCGATATACACCAAGACATGTCCACAATCCGATATACACCAAGACATGTCCATAATCCGATATACACCAAGACATGTCCGCAATCTGATATACACCAAGACATGTCCGCAATCCGATATACACCAAGACATGTCCACAATCTGATATACACCAAGACATGTCCACAATCCGATATACACCAAGACATGTCCGCAATCTGATATACACCAAGACATGTCCGCAATCTGATATACACCAAAACATGTCCAATCATATACACCAAGACATGTCTGCAATCCGATATACACCAAGACATGTCTGCAATCCGATATACACCAAGACATATCCGCAATCCGATATACACCAAGACATGTCCGCAATCCGATATACACCAAGACACGTCCATAATTTGATATACACCAAGACATGTCCGCAATCCGATATACACCAAGACATGTCTGCAATCCGATATTCCAAGACATGTCCGTAATCTGATATACACCAAGACATGTCCGCAATCTGATATACACCAAGACATGTCTGCAATCCGATATACACCAAGACATGTCCATAATCCGATATACACCAAGACATGTCCGCAATCCGATATACACCAAGACATGTCCGCAATCTGATATACACCAAGACATGTCCGCAATCCGATATACACCAAGACATGTCCGCAATCCGATATACACCAAGACATGTCTGCAATCCGATATACACCAAGACATGTCTGCAATCTGATATACACCAAGACATGTCCATAATCTGATATACACCAAGACATGTCTGCAATCCGATATACACCAAGACATGTCTGCAATCTGATATACACCAAGACATGTCCACAATCCGATATACACCAAGACATGTCCATAATCCGATATACACCAAGACATGTCCGCAATCCGATATACACCAAGACATGTCCACAATCCGATATACACCAAGACACGTCCATAATTTGATATACACCAAGACATGTCCATAATCCGATATACACCAAGACACGTCCATAATTTGATATACACCAAGACATGTCCGCAATCCGATATACACCAAGACATGTCCGCAATCCGATATACACCAAGACATGTCCGCAATCCGATATACACCAAGACATGTCCGCAATCCGATATACACCAAGACATGTCCGCAATCTGATATACCAAGACCTCAGGTTGCTAAATATTAGAAGGCAGACTGTAATTTAGAGTCTCCCGTACTCTGTTGAAAAGACATATTTAAAATATCTTTGTGTTTGGTTTAGCCCAGCACATATGCTACTGCTTTTTCTGTACATGTCCTTTTATGTCCATCCTAGTTGGGCTTTGTCCTATTTCATGGTTTGATGTTTCCCAGGGACAGAAACAAACATTCCGTTACCTGGAAATTACTTCTCATTACTAATATCATTGCCAGAAATTCTCTAATTTATACTCATTAAATTTGATTAAAATTTAAATATACTCTCTTGGTCAACCTTTATTTTCTTAAAATGCCTATATCATGCTGAGTGTAATTTAGAGTCTCCCGTACTCTGTTGAAAAGACATATTTAAAATATCTTTGTGTTTGGTTTAGCCCAGCACATATGCTACTGCTTTTTCTGTACATGTCCTTTTATGTCCATCCTAGTTGGGCTTTGTCCTATTTCATGGTTTGATGTTTCCCAGGGACAGAAACAAACATTCCGTTACCTGGAAATTACTTCTCATTACTAATATCATTGCCAGAAATTCTCTAATTTATACTCATTAAATTTGATTAAAATTTAAATTCTCTCTTGGTCAACCTTTATTTTCTTAAAATGCCTAATCATGCTGAGTCTGGGTTTTCTGATTTAGCATATTA